GGGGGGGGGGGCTGCAGCAGGTTGTGATAAAACCTGGGTTCAGAGATAGGCTAGTGAGTGTAAAGGGAAATCTTACAAACAGAGCAAAGGTTCAGAAGTTAGAATCAGTAAGCATCCTCTTGAGAATGGCTCTATGCATACTGAAGATTGATGGTAATCCCATTTCTTGCTTAGTCTTTGTCTTCAACAGAAAATAAACTCACCATGTTAAGAAAAATGCATCATATGATGCTTTAAAAAAGTCCATGTTCATAGCAATGTGCCCATACTTGAATTTATTAATTTAAATCTCTATTTTCTAGATGTCTTCTAGTTCTGGCAAAATTATAGACAAAGATAACCAGAAATCTTCTTACTGTAAAGATCTAAAAATGCTAGCTAAAATGTTTAAAAACAATTTATACGCTTAGCTGAACATAAAAGGGAGAAATGAAAGTCCCAAGGTACCAGAAACAAGTGGACACTGGGAAACAGAGCAATAAGCAAGCCACCAAGGATGGGGGTGATGAGGGAAGGATGAACACAGGTCCTGCTAAGCCAGAACCACTTGGGCTTTATCCTTATGTGGGTTCAGGAGGTGAGGCCTTGGGTCTGAAAGAGGTAGTGAACTTAAGCTTGATTATGTACCTAAAAGCACGACCTTCAAATGGTAATACTCTTGTTGAAAGATAAGATGAGAAAAATCAAACCAAAAGGCCTATCTTCTTCAGGGAAAGAGCAAGAATCTCGGTTCTGCCTGAGAATTGAGAACTGTAGGCAAATTTAGGATTCAAGTTACATTACATATATGGTCATGAAAATGTTACGTAAAAATTGGTTCTGGGATGGAGATGGATATATCTAAGGAGCCAAGCAGAAGCAAATACAAAATTCCTCTGGAGAGATATTCTCTTACCCTGGGGTTATGTGAGATTTCTACATAAAGCTCTAGTAGGGAAAGATTCAGAATCCTAAATTACAAAATCCATAAGAAAACAACCCATCATAGTCAAGAGTCAGCATGTACATATAGGAGGATTAGATCTCCAAAGACTTAAATGCAGAACAATCTGAGAACAATTATTAAATTAGAAGTTCAAAAAAGACTAAGATATCAAAGGATGCCTTTTAAAAAAAGAAAAGAACAAGGTATTATGAAAAAATCCAGATAGATTTGAAAAAAAATTGAAAAATTAAAACCACTCTCACCCCCCCAAGAGAAAAACTTAAAATATAAAGACATAAACAAATTGATGTAAAGAGATAGAAAAAGAAGTATCAGAGGAATATTAATCAAAGAAAGCTAATGTTGCTATATTCATGTCAAATAAATAGATCTTGAGCAAAAAAAGGCATTGTTATGGGTAAAATCACTACAATATATCTATCAACATTATATATAACATGATAGCATCAAAATATAGAAAGTAAAAATTAACAGAATTACAAGAGAGGTGGAAACATACAGACATATTTAATTTTCAGCAATTGATAGATCAACCAGACAAAAAATAATGATATGGAACATAGATAACAAATTTGTCTACAGGAACATATACAGCCTAGAGAATATACATCCATTATACATAACATAATCATAAAATATAACTGTGCACTAGGTTCTATATGAAATGTCCACAAACACCCAAACATGCACATTACACAGACTATATTCTCTGACCATAATGCAATTAAATTAGAAGTCAATATCAAAATGATAATAAAGATAAAAATTCACACATTTAGAAATCAAAGGAAAAAATCATAATGGAAATTAAAACATATCTTAAAGTGAATAAAATGAGACTATCTCCTATCAAAGTTTGTGGGATGTAATTAAGTAGTTGATGGAATTTCAAAATATTGAGCTTAAATAAAGAAAATGAACACTAAAAATTAAAGAGTTAAGTACACTTAGTTTAAGAAGCTATGGAAAGTAACAACAACGTAAAGAAACGAGAAAGAATAAAGTAGAAAGTTGAAAGCAAATGTTAATAAAGTGGAGAACAAAGACACCACGGAGGGAATTAATAAAACCCAATGCTGGCTATTCAAAAAGTCAAATAAAATGAACAAATCTAGCAAGCTTCATGAAAAGACAAAGAAAGAAGCACAAATAAATAATATTAGGAATAACACAGGAGGTATAAGGGCAGATTTTTAAAAAATCATAAGAATACTTTATTCATCTCAATAACTTTGATAAAATAGATAATTTTCTAGAAAAATATAACACTAAAACTTAAGAAGGAAGAGAAATTGGTAATCATTTTTGAAAACTGTACAGGAATATCGATTAAAGCTGAACACATGTGTATGACTCATAGATCCCATCCCTGGACAATAGAAATGCAAATACATGTTCACCAAAAGACACAATTACAATGTCCTCGGTAGCATTACTTGTAATATTCAAATACCAGAACTACCCAAATGCCCATCAACTGTAGACTGGATAAATTATGATATACTCACATCATGTAATACTATACAGCAGTTAGAATGAATGAACTAAAATTACATGCAACAAGAAGGATGAATCTCACATATAATGTTGAACAAAGTAAATAAAACACAAAAAGTATATTTGTATGATTACTATTACATAAGGTGTACTTTTCCATATATATGCTATACTTTAGTGTAATTGAAAATACACTAAAATACTTAAAAATCTACCCACCAAAAATCTACAGGTGAAGTCTATAAAACCTTTAAGGATTCACTATCTTATGCAAACTGTTCTAGAGAACAGAAAAAAAAAAAAAAAGGGAAAGTTCCTAAGCTAATTTTTTTGAGATTGGTTTAATGTTTTTTCCAAAACCAGACAAGGCCATTATAAGAAAGAAAATTATAAAACAATTTGTTTTTCATTTACAAGCAGATGCAATATTCCTAAATAAAATATCAGCAAACTCAATCCAACCATGTTTAGTAAATAATCATCTTATCTGGCATGACACACTATATTATGATTTACCTCAGGAATCTTAGACAATATAGTAATATAATTCACACATTAACAGATTAAAGGAGAATAAACAAATGCTCATTTCAACAGATAAGAAAACAATTTGATAAAATGTAGTACCCATTCAAGAATGCCTATCACCACCTCTTGCATTCAACACAAGTCATAGCATAATGAGACCAAAAGCCAAAACAAAGCAAAAACCCCACATAAGGATGGAAAGAAACAAAACTGTTATTATTCACATATGATGACTGTCTACCTAGAAAATCCAAGAGTGTCTACCAAGCATCAGAACTAATAGAAGAGTATAAGACCAAAAAGTACCAATAATATTCCCTCTACTATGATCATCTAGAAAATATAAGTGTAAAAAATTACTATTTGCAAACAGCAGTGAAAACAATTAGGTACTTAGGAATTAAATCTAACAAAAGATCTACAAGATCTCTGTGGAGAAAATGATAAACTCAATTGAAGGATACACAAGGTATAAATAAATGGAAAGATGTAGCACATTCCTGAATTGAGCCTGGGAAGACGCAATACTATCATCTGTCTACACATTGCCAATTCCAGTCTACAGCAGAGACCACAGGTTGACTCCCAGTATCCATATTCCCTTTTCTTTAAAATAGGGTTTTGTTTTGTCTTTTTTGGTGACACATGGCTACTATATTTCTCAGTTTCCCACCATGTAGACTAAGCTCTAACAATGGCATATAAGCAGAAAAGGCAAATAGGACTTCCAGGAAGAGTCCTTAAATTCAGGGGCACACCCTTCTGGAATTATGAGGTGGAAGCCTCCTGGGCAGAAGAGTCCACAGCAGCAAGATCAAGGAGAGAGTGCTGACCACTTTAGGATGCTTCCCCTCCAGGATGAACTGCCCACCTCTGGTGTGGAATATACTATAAAGCATATGTACTTCACAGGGCCTGGTTTTCCAAAGCCTTGAAGTTTCAAATATTGACCTTGCGGAGGACTGGAAATTTTCCTCAGGCTATAAAGTCTCTGGTGTAAGATAAAGATTTGTGGCACAGCAAGGTTGCTGACTCAAGGACAGACTACTTATTGATTGTTGTGTAAAGAGAGAAATTGCTGTAAGATCACTTAATTGTCTACTGGAATGTCATCTGCCTTGTTTCACTGAAAGTTACCAGCCTTTATTGTTAAACTATAACCCCACCTATGTTCTCTTCCTGTA